AGGTGTTTCCCTCGGACAACCAGCATGACAGCGATGCTGCCTTCCCACAAGGAAGGGTGGGGTTAGAAAAGGTCAACCCTAAAAATGTCACACCTCACCTTGCCTCACGGATTTCCGTCTCCGGCGGTAAAGCCCTTTGAAGAACGGAGCTAACACAAAAATTACCCATAAAAAGGCCGTGTGCGACCGGCCTCAGGCAGTTGTCCCTTGGGCTCTGCGGTCACGCTCCCAGGTTGTTAAGGCCAACATTAATCCAACTCCCTTTTCAGGTTCCTCAAGAAATATTCTTTCACAGTGTTGGCAGCCGGGAAGTGACATCAGCCCTCATACCCGTAACAGCACACGAGACCAAGTTGGTCACATTCAAACCCTTCCTACACCTCCTAATACCTCTCTTATATCCATGACTAACCCTCACGCGTATTTGCTTGCGTCTTACTGGACGTAGGAAAGACGCTTCAAGGAAACCTCTTAGGGCCCTACTTAATGATAGTCAATCTAAGAGTATATTTCAGGAACAACTAGGAAAACAGTTAGGCAGCCATGTATGTGATGCCCACCCTGAGGCAGCATGGAATGATATCCGAAAAGCTGAGGAAACAGTAGTGATATCTGCTAGTAAGGTAAACCAGAAGGTTAGGGAGCAACACTGGATCTCAGCAGCATCTATCGCACTGATAGATGCTCGGAAACTCATTCCACCTGGCTCTGAACATAATGAAGAGCGGAGTCAGCTTAAGCGCAAGCTGACAAGAAGTCTACACAATCATCGCGAACAGTAGTGGGTAGCGAAAGCAAGAGAGATGGAAAAGGCAGCGGCAATAGGTAATAGCAGACAATTGTTCAGACTCGTTAAGGAAACCGGAATTAGGAACCCGACCGTTAGCGAAACAATCTCAGAGAAAGATGGGCATATTATTCATTCTCAATCCAGGAGATTGGATCGATGGGCAGAACACTTTAGGGATCAGTTCAACTGGCCTTCAGCCACACTTCGGTTTCCCACGATCTCCAGTCAACCTGAATGGCAAGTTAATGTAAGTCCTCCGTCCCTTTACGAAGTTGAAAAAGCCATAGGAAATCTGAAACGAGGGAGAGCAGCAGGCCCTGACAGGTTTACTCCTGAGATTTTTAAAGATGGTGGTCCAGTATTAGCAATGAGATTAACCGAGGTCTTAGGTAGAATTCGGGAACTGGACGTAATCCCATCTGACTGGTCTCAAACACTGATTGTGCCAGTCTATAAGAAAGGACATAAGTCCTCCTGTGACAATCACAGAGAAATCAGTTTGACTAATATAGTGTCTAAAATATTAGCTTCAATAATACTCCGGCGAATAGCCAAAGCTCGTAAAGAGCAGACTAGTGAAAACCAGTCTGGTTTTCAACCTGGACGTGGTTGTATAGACCAGATATTCACACTACGTCAGGTTCTAGAACACAAACACACATTCAGACGCCCCACAATGGTAGTATTTCTCGACCTTAAAGCAGCATTCGACTCTGTCGATCGTGAGGTTCTATGGCAGTGTTTGTCACTGAAAGGAGTACCAAAGAAGTACATTAACCTTATAAAGGCTCTCTGCTCGAACACAACTGGTCGAGTGAGAGCTTATGGCGAACTGTCATCAGAATTGATTACCTCAAGTGGTGTTCGTCAGGGCTGCCCATTCTCTCCATTTTTGTCCAACTTTGTCGTCGACGTACTTTTAGACATAACACTTTCCTCGTCTAAATTTCCAGGGGTTGAACTTCTACCGGGAGGTTCACTTGTTGACTTAGAATATGCAGATGACATAGTTCTGTTTGGTGAAGACGCTGACAAAATGCAGAGTCTTCTGACCACTCTAAGCAACAATGCAAGCATGTTCGGGATGCGATTCTCTCCCTCGAAATGCAAAATGTTGCTTCAGGATTGGGTTACATCGACACCCGAACTAGTGATAGGGAGTGAAGTAGTTGAGTGTGTCGACCGCTTCACTTATCTTGGAAGTCTCATCAGCCCTTGTGGTCTGGTTTGTGACGAAATCTCAGCACGGATATAGAAGGCTCGACTAGCTTTTGCCAACTTGCGTCATTTATGGCGTAGGCGAGATATCCGTCTATCGACCAAAGGACGGGTTTACTGCGCAACAGTTCGTCCCGTCCTACTTTATGGCAGTGAAACATGGCCGGTAAGAGTAGATGATATTCGTAGGTTACTAGTATTCGATCATAGGTGTCTTCGAAACATTGCTCGTATATCATGGGACCATCGAGTAAGTAACACAGTTGTTAGGGATCGGGTACTAGGTAAGGATGGCAAATCAATTGATGAAGTAGTGAAACTTCATCAGTTGAGGTGGCTGGGACACGTGTTACGTATGCCCAACCACCGACTACCTCGACGTGCTATGTTCAGTGGTATAGGAGTAGGTTGGAAGAAAGGTAGAGGCGGCCAAACCAAAACATGGCACAAGTCCATGAAGTCACTGACAAGTGGACTGAGCTATGTTGGTAGGTGTAGACTACCTGGTTGGGGACCGCGAGATGATAGCAACCGATGGTTAGAGACCCTGAATGACATGGCTCAAAATCGTTTGCAATGGCGCAGGTGTATACACTCTTTGTGTTCTCCCAAATTCTAATCTTCTGAATTCTTCATGTCCCTTTTTTCCTCTTTCCAAATTTATTTCACTGGATTATACTCCTTGAATAACATCTCCAAACCCTAATCTTCCCGATTACTGCTTATACTCTTACTACCTCTACCACTACGGGATTTGAATCGACAACTGCATCTGTGTGCTAAGGTGGTGTGGCAACTCGAACTGATGTACGTACGTACGAAGTTCTACGTTGTTACTGGCTGATTGACTGATGTACTATTATTGCACACATGTAGTTATCTTATCACAATGAATTAATCAAAAAACGTTATTTTCTACCTGAAGTTCGGTTTGAAACTTATTGTGAAAAGCGAAACTCATCATTTATTTACAGTTGTGTGTGACAGATATTTTGAAAATAACCACACTGAAAAATCAAGTATCTTGATATTAATTCATTAATTAATATATGTAAACATCGTGGTATAAGTTATTGAACGAATTGTCCTGTTCATCTTGTATTTGTGCTTTCAAACAAACTTTATGGAATAATATCTGGGTTCTTACACTTACTTTCCGGTAAACGAATGTAGAACTAGTGACAGGTAATTGAGACGATACGGTTCTATTGAGTGACTTCATATTTGAGTCTTTAAGTAAAATGTAGAACTTCATAAAAGCGATACATGATAAAAGGTATAAATTCAGTCATGTACAATGTAATTACAACGGTAATCAATAATGTCACTCAAGCGTTTTTGTTACAAAATTTTGTGTTTCCAGTTATTAAATATGTCACGTCATCTATTTTGTCTGGATTAAAAATAATAAGGATTACGAGAATCACCGGCTTTTGCTTTTTGACAATATTTTTCCAAAAGAAAATACTCTGACATTATTTCTGAGAATATGGTATATCCGGTCTAGTATATACTGTTTTCGTCTCACCACATCTACTGATTTTTTTCAGACCATGTGTTTCATATTGGTAGTTCGTTGGGAAAAACAAAGTTATAAGATGATCAATCTAAGATACAGAACTTATCCATAAAAACAATAACTATAGTTACCAAGCTTTTCAGAAAAGGGAAAATTATCTACCGTGGTAATTTGTAGAGATTTGAGACATTATTCAGCTGGAGAACAGTTAAGATTCATGAAGCACTGAATATTCTGATCTTCGTGTAAGAATTTTCACCAGGTTGCATCTACAAAGCAAGATAGGGTCAAACCCAGGACCTTCAAGTTATGCTGGGCTCAAAGTCTCTGGCATACTGTTTTGTCCTTTGGTCTGTCTACCCACTTTTGGTGCTGAGGATACTTATCTAATCCAGATTAAGACCTTGGCGCGATAGACTGACCGACCTAACCTTGAGGCTAGTATGCATGAATTCGAAGTGGGTTAGAGAGAAGAAAACTATTCTGTCACACCTGATTGGCTGACAAGCACGCGAATGAGAGAAAACAAGACAACTGGAACACTACTCGATCTATTCCCGATATCAATTCAGATTAGTGTAAAAAGGTACATGACTAAATAAGTGAATAACCCAACCACAACGTACAATAATTTAGGAAAAATACAATTATGTTCAAAGCTGGGAATCAGCGTAGAAAATAGGGTGCAAAATATTATGTTTAAATTACAATAGCTTCGGAACAGCAAAGGGTATGGCAATGAATCAAACATCGAACGAAAGCTTATGTTCTGTAGAATAGATTAGGGACAAAAATAAATGTTAGTGTTTTACAAGCTTTGAATAAAATGAAATAACGTCCCGAACAATAGCTTTCATAGTTTGTCAGGGCTTCTTGTTTCCCTGTTCACATCACATACATTTTAAAACTTAAGTATTTTTTGATATCGTAAAAACTTCAGTTAGCGTCATCAATGGATCGCTGCCTCACTCTTAACTGAATCAGTTCCATCAATACCGGCTTTGTACTAGAGTTTTAAAAAATCCGTCTGGAAGCCAAAAATAAGTTTGATTGAATTGACTGTTCAATGTGCACTCCTTCTACCAATACTTCCACAAAATCTCTCAACGGACAAGGTCCAATGTCGTTGTTATGTACCATAGGTATCCATTTTTTTTCACATCTTAACTATGTGATTTATACATTTAGAAGCAGGTGTGAGTTGTGTTTCAAGTCAATAAACCAGACTAGGAAGTATACCATTGATTACACTTAAGTAACCTGGCAAGTAGATCCTGTTATTTGTATTAAAAATCTACTGAAAAATGATGATGGCTATTATCATCAAAATAAAAATGAAATGGTTGATCAATGATTATTTTATTGTTTAACAACAAAATGTAACATTCAATCTACATTGACAGTAAATCAACAAGACAATTTTATGTGATGTATGAGAGACATATGTGTTCCATACATGAAAATGATGTCCATAAATTACCCAGTCTACTTGTTTGTTTTAACAAAATTTAATACAATATATATAGTGTAAAGTAGTCGTGCAACAATAACCGTTAAACCAAACATTATTAAATACACAGGTATTTCACCTAACCAAATATAAATTAATTCTGGACATGGTTCATTATTTAACTTGATATACCATTTATTAGGTATATATATTGGTTGATAAGATTTCAGTAATTTCATAAAATAATCATTATTATTAATAAGAATATGATAAATGGCATAACCACAATATTTATCATTTTGATACATTTTTTTACAACATGAATTTGGTACCCAATAATCAATAAATTGATTTGTATCCTTTTTTATTATTTGTCTAGTAATGTTATACCATTCATAATGCCATTCATTATAACCACAACATTGAAAATAATTCTGTATATAATCTAATATAAAATGTTCCATTTGATTTGAATTATAAAATTGTACTAAATTTTTTATTAAATTTTCTATCATTTGATAACCAAAAAATTTATTTTCTCTATAGTGATATAATTGAATGAGAAATAATAATTCACTCATAAAAATAATGAAGGATATTGCTAAAAAGGGGATAATGAATAAACATTTACCAATGTTCAATGTTCCAATAGCTAAAATAAAATTCACTAATGATAAACAAGTTAATATTAATGAATAGTATGAATAGATGAATTGATTATTATTTGTATCCATGAATAAATTAATTTTTTGTTTATATATATAAAGGAGTATTGTAATTATTCCATAGAATATAAAAAATGTAAATAACCAAAAATATAAAATTCTTTTCATAGAAATATAACACATATGAATAGTTATTAAATAAATAGTCTTGTAAGAAATTTCCCAACAGTATGAATAGTGATAATATTCAAAGTAATTGGTTAATCGATCAAATATCAGGTGATTTATTTGTTTATTTTTAAATAATAGTATGATGTGGGTTACTTATATCTACATAAGTAATATATAACAGTGATCAGGTGTAGAATGTATTTCAGTAGAAGATTGATAAGGAAGGAATGGAAACGGAACGCAGTTGGTATGAAAATGTATGAACAATGAAATCTGAGACAATGGATTGATATTTGAAAAAGGAATAGTTAAGTTTGAGATGATGGATTGATATTTTGCAAATTAATTATTTACTATATGGCTCTCAGATTTTATTGAGATGCTCTGTGATTTCGTGACGAAATACATTCGATTGTCTCTCATTCGTGTTCTTGTTCATTACAACAGTCTATTTTACGGTATTTAAGAGAAGTTTGTTTAAGGTATTAGTTTGAGCTTAGGATATAAGCTATTGTAGATGGTTTTATTGGGCCTCAGTTCATATTGGTTATTTTCTTCTTTTTAATTTGCAAGCTGTTTACCTTTGATGATAAGATGGTTTACTTCATTTCCTGATCTAATACACACCAACCATACATTCTAATTAGCTAATCATATACAAATAGGTTGGTAATATGGTCCAAATTAATTTATTTTAAAAAGAAGCATTTTTCATTATTTGTTATCAGAAGGGTTTTTGTGGAGATTTTGGAAACTTCACTGATCGAAATCATGAGTCAATTGAAGCTAGACCACCATGGAAAACCTGGAAGCACTGGATGACCGTTTCGTCCTAGTATGGGACTCCTCAGCAGTGGAGTTTACAACCAGGTCTGTTATTAGATATCAACTCATTGAAGACAATGGTGTACGGTGGTGAAACTTCGTGGATTGGTTGAAGTTAGACATTAACACCGTTAGATGCCGGCTCAGTGGTTGGGAGCCTGACGCGAGACTGATAGGTCCGGGGTTCGAATCTCGCGGGGTGCGGGATCAGGGATGTGCGCTGCTGAGGAGTTCCATACTAGGACGAAACGGCCGTCCAGTGCTTTCAGGTTTCCCATGGTGGTTTACCTTCAATTGACTTATGATTTCAATCATGAAAGTATTTGTTATGACAAGATTTTTTCACACTAAGTAAAATAGTAATTAGGAGTTTGATAAAAAAATCGAAAAATATTTTATAAGTTTTGACAAAGCGGATAAAATTTCCTAAATATTCAGAAAGCGAATGTCATTACCGATTGAAATGATCGAATCCAATGTAATTAATCTACGAATTACAAGTTTTGTGTACTCGTTTTTGGGTCACATTGACTGTGAGTGATGGTGATCTTACCCATGTGCCTTTAGTAATAAGTGGAGCTGGATTCAAAACCTGTTATCTACAATAAGGTTGTGGCACCCCTCGTACGTTTAAGTTTGTTTATGGTTAGTTTTGTCAAACCCTTCAATTAACTTAGCATACATTGCTATTTAAATATTAACAATCCACTTTAAGGTATATAGTAAGCCTAGTCGTCGAAGTGTACACGGATGATGTAACACGAAACCATACAACCACTGTTTAATGAACCGTCTATGGGGTAAATCTGATATTTTTCCCTCCAAAACACTCACGATATTGTAGTTATGCCACTTATTATTGTATTTATGCTTTTTACATACTATTTAATTACTCTATTTTTACAAGATATATGACTATTGGGTTCTGTACTTCGAAATGAATCTTGTATTCTAAAATCCTATCACCTCGGATTGTTCATTGTAATTGCATTTTACGCTCAAAATTATTAACATGTATGACTAAAATAATCTACGAATTACGACTTTCCAAATAATGTAGTCGTATTTTTTTAGTGCTGTTTTCATTCTTCATCCGCCTGACAGTGTCTGTAGTGTCCATTTTGTAACTGCTCTCAGGATATTAGAATTAATTCAATGAGACAATTTCTAGATACCCTAACATTTCATTATCAATAGTCACTATTATCTAAATTTTTTGGAAACTATATGGATTTAAAAATAAATTTTTCACATATGAGATTGTAAAGTTTAATGTATCAATAGATATCCTATTTGAACTCTACATCTAATACTGATACATTAAAATCTGTGACAGTTCATTCAGCTTTCTACTGTTTTTTACCAAAGGTTTCTTGATGGGAGAATCCCATGGTGTCGATTAAGTGTAATGTGGTTGACAAGAGCTTTGTATATTTCATATATCGTTGAGTAAATTGAATACCCGACCATTTGGCTGGTGTGCAGTTTAAACAGTGTCATCTTTATGTTTTCTTTGTCTCAGCCTCGTTCATTTTAACCAGTTAATCGATCGAGAGGGGAAATTTGTTTCTAGCATGGTATGAATAGAATAAACATGATCTTCAGCTAAAAAGTCTAGAAATGATGGAAGAAAGTATGTCTGTGTTAGCATGATTGCGAAATATTGGTTATAGTTCATAAGCTGAGACATTTAATCACATAAATCTAATTATTAGACTTTACTATTATCAGTTTTACTGAGTAAATGAAATAATCAGTTATAAAGTAAACAAAAAGTATTGCTTTCACAAATTTTCATTCGTGATTATTTATCAGGAAATATAGTGATAAACTGTTATCCATATGAAACAGTTGTGTAAAGTAATAAAGGTATGTAGATCCAAGAAAATTTAGCATTATTCAGTTACATTGAATTAAGCATTCTCATGAAAATAACAAATAATTAAGCTGGAGTGATATAACTATTCAAGCTGATTTGACGTTATCTCTCTGTTTTAAGCACTAATAAACATTTAAATCAGTCATTATCAATATAGAGTCTAGCACAAATGTGAGTTAAATAGAACTTTTGAATATACTATCTATTTAAAGACTAGGCGTTTCAAACGAACATAATGCAAACTTCATACACATGGTTCCTTTTATTATCTTGAAGAGAACAAAAACATAGGTTGATGCAGAATTAATATGACTTTTTATTTCGTTAGGTTCTCAATCACATGATTGTGTAATGAAGTAATTGAATACAGACTAATGGTAATGAAGAAGGGTATGAATTGGAATCAGTCAATTCGGATGAAAATTATGAATTAAAGAAAAATGATAGTCACGCAATCAAAACTTGTAAAAGTGCTGAAATAATCAATGATGCAATAAAAATGATGAAATATTACCAGGGAAAAGAAAGATTACTGTTTCTTTTTGGACGCACAGATTTGGTTCTAGACGTTTTATCTCTGTGGCTTCAGAAGATTAGTATCAGGTTGCTTAGTATTCACTTTGAAAGATTTCACTGTATACACTTAATGTCCCGTATCAAGATGTCTCGAGAGTTCTGCTGAGTGCTTTTAATACATTTGACCTTAGACTTTTTGGAATATGTTCTTTGAATTAGACGTAGGCCCTCCTTTCTGTTTTATCAATGTAACTGTAGTGAACAGAACACGGAGCATCTCAATAAAATCTGAGAACCATATATTAAATCGTTAATTTGAAAAACGTCCACTAACTGTCTCAAAATGCCTCAGACTTCATTGTCCTTGCATTTCCATACAAATTGCATTCTATTCCCACTCCTGTTTTCTTGATCTTCCTCCATCTTCTGATGCTAGACATTACATTCCTGACTCGCGTCATATACTACTTATATCAATAAAAGTAGCACGCACTACAGTAACTGCTTTGCCAGATACATGTGAATTTGCATACGCAGTTGGTGGTAACATGAAAGGGATACCTACCAATCTATGATTGTTTTAAAGAACATGGGATTTTGGACAAAATTAGTTTAACTGAAGGATAAGTTCTTGTAAATGAAGTTTTCATTTGTTTATTCACCTGAAACAAAAAATTTTATGATCTTATTAACCCTGTTGGAATCTTCACAAAATCATGATACACATATTCATTTCTAATCACCTTCGTATTTATAAGTATGTCTATATACATTATAACTTTGATTTTAAAATATTACAGGTTGTAAGGAGCTGAGAATGTAGTGAAATAAGATGAATTCATACTATTCTGCATCAATCTTTTTTTGCTATCTACAATGCAAACTATTATTTGATGATTTCTTGTAAATGGTTTTGCTAAAATCACGGCCATAGATGCAGCCGTTCTTTGAATAGATTCCTTGAAGCCAACTTGTAAATGATATATATATATATATATATATATATATATATATATCTTAGTTTTAAGTGAAGGGTTTCAGCCGTTGAAAACTCTTTAAAAAGAACAGAATATACATAGATATCCTGAATTTAAAATTCGTTAAGTACTTTATCACCCTCTACAGAAAACAATAGTTCGTCCTCTATTACAGAAAACCAATGTTTTGATGTTGCATTCGTTCAAATAAGTACAGACTTCTTAAGAAAGAATATATGGTCTCCTGTTAAAGTGCATTACTCGTCATGTTATATGGAAATCTGTCGTGCACACAGAAATTAACAGTTTAATGAATAATTTCAATCACATTGCTTTATAAATTAAATTGATCATGGATCAGTAAAATCATTACAAATTCATGTTAACTTCAGAACAGTTTATTAAATTACAGTACAAGATATCTCATCTTACACTTACAGTTACAATGTGAAGTATTCGAATAGTCACGTTTTAAAATGGTTGCTTAATATAGTAAAAGTTTGTTGTTAATTTTCTAGAAACTTTAACTTATTGCTTCAAATAAGTGAATGATCAAAATGTATCTCTACGACTTTAATGCAATGACCCGACTGACTGACTTAATGCAATGATGTTACTCCTTATTTTTTGGTTTGAACAGTAAAATTATTGTGACTTGAAGTCAGGTTTGAAGATTATTTCATTCATTAGGATTGTAAGTATGAAAGCATTCGAATTCTCTTAAACAACAGCCGACATATTTACATACAATTGAGAAAAAGCGAAAACTATACAACTTAACAATATATATATGCATATCTGACATCATATTTCCGGAATAAAGAAAATCAGAAAAATGGGAAACTTGTTAACATGTCATGTAAAGTATCTGTACAGTTTTCTGTTTATATTTAATTATATTGTAATGATGAACAGCAGCTGATACAACAAACATGATCAATAAAATAAGTTTCCACATCATATGAATTAAAGAAATTATGGTATAAAACCTAGTTGTTCTTTTGTACACACATCGGAAGTAATTGAGTTTTATTCGAACAGTAAAAGTGATATCTTTTTCTTGATTTACCATCAAGTAATGAGACTGCAGATGAGACAACCAATATTGATAACGTAAATTATATCCATTAGATATTTGACCAAATCATACAGTTAGAATGTAAAACAACTAACGTTTAAAGAATTCGTGAAATATTCCCATATTGTGAGTAGCTATCATGATTAATTTCTGAAAGGCTTTTTTGTTGAACTTTCAGTTTCTAATTGTGACTTAATTATTTGGATAATCAAATGTATTGTTTTATCGAACAACTGAAAACCCGTCAGAAAATCAAGCACATCCTACAACAGGAGACAGTATAAAACAGTACCACAATTGATACAAGCAACTCTTATATTACACTTCCAGTTGGAAGGATTATGAAAGACATAAGACTAGACCGTAGGAAATAACCGATAATTCGAACGATAAACATGGATTTTCAAATATGACAGTCGTGCGCCATTTGGTTAAAAAAATAACCAATTAAACTAAATTTAGTTTAGTGGACGATGAGAAACTGAATCCGACCATCTCAGAAGACAAGATATTGCTCTTAAATCTTGGACGCTTAGACTGATTTAAAGTGAAAATCTCAAAAAATATGGCCGAAAATGAAGCTAAACTTTCTACATCGACACGCTCTCATGAAGCTCCATCCTTAAAGGCTCTACCAAACGGATATACTTACAGCTTCCTATTGGAAAGGAATCTCCGCACAAATGATAAGACAAAACTAGGAGGATGAATATAGACTGAGTACTACCACTAAATATGTAGCTTCTGTCAAACTCCTGTGACAGACGTATTAGTAGCTGAAAATCTAGATGGACGTTCTGGGTTCTACGCATTAGTAATAGTTTGGGTAGCCAATTAGAATTCTTCGATTACAAGTAGGATAAGTGGTTGCATATTTCCCATGAACATAACCTACTTTCTAACGAAAAACAAAATCACAGTTGTTATTATCGAAGCACAACTTACGGTCCTCTTTTCTTAATTGCATGTGCAAATTTACGGAATCAGTGGCACGATATTAAAACCTGTAAAATTGAGAAGGCTGGTTTCAGTGAGATAAAAATCATAGAAGACGCTTCAAATGTCCGATGGAGTAATTTAAATGGATCGTTGCTCTACAAATTTTGACCAGATCATCATACACTTCTTTTTTCCGTCACCGTTTTCTAATTTTTATCAACATTATCATTTCAATTTGTACGATATAACTTGTTAATGCTTTTCTACACGAAGCATTTCTTGTACGATAAGTAAATAACCATGAATAAATGTATAAATCCTCTCCTAACCCCTAACATTAAAAAAGACACTTATGGTATTAATTTTCTGATAAAGAACAAAGTAAATGAACCCACTAACTTTACTAAATTGTTGTTAGATATTTATCTCTGAGGGAACAAATAATACATATGTATAGGTAATTTCATGTTATTCATAAGTATCCATTTGAAAGTTTGTAATTTTAAAAAAGAGGAAAATAAATTTAAAGTAAAAAAAGCTTTTCTTTCGAAGTTTTCTCGTTCCTCTTTTTTTCTACTTCATATAATTTGAAACAACTCTTATTATATCAGAAGAGATAATCAGAAAAAACTGTATGCGTATATAATTACTGAACATAATAATACAAATTAAATTGTTAGTAGGAAACATATTGGTTCATTTGAGAATACTTCTCTTTGAAATTAGTAAGTATCAAATTAATGTATTTTGAAGAAAGAAAATTTTATAAAAGAAAATACTACAAGAAAAGAAGAAAAAAGGTAAATGATAAGAATAATTAAACACATAATTATCCTTTTTGATACTGATATTATTGTTGTTTTATAAAATACAAAGCCACAATTTCGCAATGCTTCCCATGATGGACACATATATATATTCGTGAACATCAGATAAGAGAGCGGTAAAATCCCAATAATAATAATGATAATATCAGAATGAAATGAATTGACAATACGAAACAGAGAACAACTAAAGTGATAACATCTAAATAGAAATATCAAGATAACACTTAGAGAGTGGAAAAAATGACTAACTCTATCTATGAAGAGGATAAAATAAACATGAAAATAATGAAATCTTTTCTTTTCAAAAAAAGAGGGGGAAACACAAAATGCTATTTTCATTGTTCAATAATTATCAAATAATAGTAAAAGATTTTTATATAATATATGTAGATGCAATAATTTACATTTTTGATTTATAATTAGGACGATGATGAGAATGAAGCGTTGATGATCGATCACCAACTGTGTCATTATTAACAACAAACATATCAGATGATAATGATGAAACGGTAGATGAATCTAATGAAGATACAATTTTAAATGCTTTAGCTGGTAATATAAGTCGTAGAAAATAGTCGAAAATAATCAATCCAATTAAAACTATATGAATACAAAAATAAATACTGGACCAATAAGCAATGGTAGTCTCCCAGTCTAATAATAAAAACCCCATACAACAATATTCAAAGACACGCATTTTTAATAACCATGAAATAAATGATACACTACCAGTTGGTAGACTATTTGCGCATAAATTCATTATATTTTTTAGACTTGTCTCACCAACTAATGCAAGTGGGATGACCAGAAAGGATAAATAATAACCTGCATGTAAACCATGCCAATAGGCACTAACCATCATTGTCCATAATGTCCTGTAGAAATTTACATAATAAAAAGAATGAATGAAAAGAATAATTGACACAGGCATTATATATCAAAAAACAAGACTAAATGGTGTCTAAATCGTTAGATTGTTGAATAATAATTTTGGACCACAACTAAAAAGCTTTATATAAATGGTAGAAATTATCAATCCCTAACAGGTCTAGACACCCCATCAATTATTTTGGTTCGTGTGATTAAACAGTATTATTAAGCCTTAATAGAACATATGACTTATTCGCAAAGCATAATGAATTCATTAAGAAGAAAATTCCAAACAAATTACTGATACAAAATACTCGGGCATCAATTGAGTTTCTTAATTGATAAGGGATTAAAAAATAGAATGAATCGCCCAAATGAATCACTTGCCGTATATTTCGTGAAGCTTTGCAACGTCTATAAAAATAATTGGCCAACCAAAATTGCACCGAACAATTCCACGATTTCATCGATTCACGTACTGTAGGAGCGAATTCACATCCCCATATACTTAAGTTGGATATTGTATTATAATTATATATTACATTTGTCTCTGACTTCATTTCAAAATTCGGTTTATTTTTTAGTGTGGAATGAATAACAGAATTGACAGGGTCAGAAGTTTGATGACGATGAAGATGATTGGACTGGTTTATAACGCTGTTTAATTTCACATCATTGGCTGCCTGTTGTTCCATGTATCTAATGTGACAATTCGCAATATAATAAAATTAAATAAACAATAGTTTAAATTGTTCTTTTGAATTCAAACAAATGTTTATCAATATAAAATCGTTAAGTTTGAATGATTCAGTTACTGAGGTGTGACCACCAGTGTTGACGGGTAAAACGCTTACAATGAAATTCTAAAACCGAGAATTTAATACCAGAGGAAGACTGGAAATACGAACAACACTAACTCTTACAAAAACGAAACTGTTGTAGTAAACAACAGAATAATGGATTGCCGAAGTCCTGAATTCAATGTTCAATAATCACTGAAAACTTTTTAAGACCAATTAGTTATGAACTGGGTGATTTTTAATTATGCTCACTTTTGTCTCATAGATTCATTTCTAGGAGAGAGGGATTGTTTATTTATTTGAACACACAAATACTGATACAAGAAGGCACCAAATACATATGCGCCACATAAATCATTCTATTTGTGAAGGCTGTGAGAACGGACTCTCTCCACTATCGGCCGTACCAGGGCATTTGGGGGGTGAACAATAACATTGTGACTATCCGAATGATTGTTCACTCATTTTAATTGTAAATCAAATAGACGTTCCCAGTGGATATAACAAGATAAGATGGTAAGAGAACAGAACGAACACTATGTCTTACTCATTGTGAAGATTCATTTCGGTAATCTCAGACGATATTGGTACGATTAATACGATACTGAAATACAAGTACTTTAGTGTGATAACGCAATTTTTCTGATCGGTTGACCGAGGTTTACTATAAAAATGTGTGGAAGCACAATTGTGTATACGAATAATGTTCATTACACAATACAAACACAGTTAAAACGTCATATTAAGGTCGGTAGACGAACATCCAGTGCATTCAACCGGGAGTGCTTCAAAACAGGTTACAAGGGTAGTTGAAATGAAACGATTGTCATTACTGAAAGTGACTAAGGTAATACAACAGTGGTCATGAACAAAAACGACTATGAAGAAAAAGCTACTAATCGTTTATCAACGGGACTATATTTAAAGATCGATTCGAAAAATATTCAAGTTTTTAAAAATAAAGTTGCATCAGAGACAAGTGCACTTCTGAAAGAACTAAAGCAATGGGATCTTCAGTATCTCTGATTGTTACAAATTTATTTATCCCACAGTGAGTCGCTTATTTTTGCCAGCACTATCAACCCATGCACGTGGCTCAAATATAAAGATGACACATTTGTCATTATTAAAAATAATCTTCTCAGAAATTTCTCCAAACACATAAACACGCTCTCAGAACACATCAAATTCACTTTCGAAAAGGAAGACGAATATAATGAACTACTATTCTCAGACTGTCTAGTTAAAAGGAATTCCAATGGTAGTCTAGATCTAGCTATATACCGAAAACCAACAAATTCAAATCGGTATATTGATGTTAACTGTGTGCACTCATCCAGTGAGAAAATTCCCCTAGCCCTAAATCTTTTCAGAAGAGCGACCAAGATCATTACCTTAGAAGACAAGCTGAGAGAAAAAGAGAATATAATAAACATCTTACGATTAACTTTTCTAAAAATATTCTTAAAAACATATTAAAACAAAACTATCCTTCTGTAAAAATCAATCCTGATGAAGGATCTTGGATTGGTACTGTGGTTTTACCTTACCACCAAAGTATGACGGAATAATTACAACGGATATCAAAAACATACAGAATTAAAGCTTTCTATTAGACAACTAACATTCTAAGAAACGCTTTATTTGAATTAAAGATAAAATCCCGTTCACCTCTACACAAAATTGTCTACAGATTAGGTTGTGCCGATTGCGAGGCGTTCTACATTGAAGAGTTCCCCTGAGATCTCGACTCGTGCCAAGGGATACTCAAGTTACATAGAAAGGCTTAATAATCCTGTAGAACTGTGAACTTTACGGGTTAAATCATCAATAACAGTACATGCTATTTTCAATAATCACCAAATTGATATTACAAATATTAAAATAACCCAGGTTTTCCCAAATATAAAGAGAGGCGAGTAGCTAAAACGTTTCACATAATGCTAAATCCCTCCGTCCTTAATAGGAAAGGCCTGAATATTGATCCAACCTGAACTATTTGTCCAAACAATCACATTTGCTCTTATTTATTTTCCACACAATCTCAACCTCACCACTTCATATTACAAATGTATACATTTTTCATACCCGAATCCTGACGTACAAATTAATGGTGACATGCCATACAAATTCACCTTGACTAAGAATAAATTGACTTCGACATATTCAGACCTATTATGAGTTTGATTGTAATAAAAATATTCTGCATTGTTTTCTTCGTACTATTTATACTTGTAGTAATTTATTTCGGTTATTTACTTTGAAGAAGTGGCCTACATTAAGCCACGAAACGTCAGAAATACAATTTTTCTACTCATTGAGATATGACAAAAAATATATTTATTGTTGAAGTCTAAAATCTACTTAAGTGGTTAGTTTAAGTAATATCAACATGATCATTTAATTGCAAAACACACATCGTGAAAACGGGCAGAAACATGAGTTTTTTAATGATCATTGACGAACGAAGATTATCAGACGCACCTGGTGGGCTCGTAGATGTACACTACTGAGCAATCCTAAACTAGGGTAAAGCAGTTGATCAATAGTCTCTAGTTTTTAATGTTACCCTATGTGAAGTCAATTTATAACGAATATAATAAATAAAACATGTATTTTGTGTAAATTCCAATAAAGAAAGCAAAAAATCCCCCATTAACTTACAAATCTAATGCATGTAGATTAGTTGGTCCTTCACCTTTTTCAGGTTCAGATAATTTAGGATATGCACCTAAACGAGCGGATATACACACGCACTCAGACATTTTCCAAGCAAAATAAATTCGCATTCGGAAGGTAAAGAAAATAACCATCATATAAAAAAATCGATACAGGAAATGTCGATCATAGAATTCTGCAGTGCGTACATACTGAAAATAATGGTGTAAAAATGGGTTAGGATTAAAAAAGTTATACAGACATGTCAGACAGTATCCCTACTGAATATATAAAACGATAAAATATAAAGCTTTGAGTGGAATAATTATGGATATGATTTATACACTATAAGGAATATTGAGTGTTTTTAGACAGGATAAAGTTAACGCATTACCTTTGTATACATAGATAATTAAAACACGTTCGCAGTTAATTCCCTAACACCTAGAGTTAAGATTTGTCTTTTATTTAAGTTATTGGTCGGCAAATTTTACATTTTTATAAAATCCAACAAGTATGACGTTTCAAATAGCATGAAGTAGTGAACAGGTTTAACTACAGGGAGGCTTATTGTTAAACCATAAGCTAATGTAGATAAGCTTTGAAGAAGCTGTAGGTATGTAAATGAGAGACGTGCACTAAACACACACACACACCTTAACTTACTAGATACTTCTTGTCCTCTAATGGATGGAGCCGTGGATTAGTAGTGAGATAAATCGATTTTCGACTACTGGACTGATATGTCAAACTTCGCACTATCTATTTCAGAGTTTGGATAGCCGAATAATATCATCAAATCATAAAAATACGGCTTAAACCATGCCTCATGAACCTTTTTTAGTCACAGAGTTGCACCACTTTATGGCGAATAAGATGTTTATGTCATTATTATGTAAAACCTTATCAGTGAGATAGCAAATATAATCGGCGATCGTATATCGTAACACTAAACACTTACATCAACAGTATAAAAGTGAGAAAGTATTAAATAAGCTACACCGAATGGAGGTGCTTCTTGAAGGTGTTGAAGAAGAGGTTCTTCTGCAGTTATTACGGTTTCAGAATCCCGATTGCAAAAGTCTTCAAACGTTTTCAGATTGTAATATGGACCTAAAACAAATATAACGAGTTTTGTAAAGTGTTTCTTGAAAATAATACAAACATATATGCTAAAATTTCCTAAGATATTACAGTGCGAGACCGAGGATATTCGGTTTGATTCCCGCATACGCGGTCGTAAACACGTACTACTGAGGAGTCTCGCACTGGGACGAATTGACTGTTTAGTGCTTCCAGATTTCTAGTGGTGGTTCAACTGAGATCGCTTCATTAATTCGACGAAATACAACATCATACTGGTAAATTCGGTACTAATTTTATACTCACTTTCCGTATCCACAACTTTCGAACTTGAATCTATAGGATATGTTCCATTAGTTCAAGATAACCGGTATTATTAACACATGGCATCTGTTTGAGTCAATTCATCGACGTCCATTAGTTTCATTTGGTCATTGATACCTCAACTTGGAAGAATCTCAAGAAATTAGGTGCTTAATAGTTGGTAGATTACAATATCACAATACATCCAAGCTTGTGCATTAAATACTTATACAGCGGCTCGTCTTTGGTGGAAATTCGACTGTATCTAAACGTTTTCGAGTCACTGTCCGGTTGAAAATTGCATTAAATACTTCTTGTACAAGAGCTAGAAATATTGAGCATACGCCTAGATTGAACGTCAGTAATTAATAAACCGGTGATCGTGGTCAACAGTAAAGTTCCTAAAATACTACGTTCTACACTAACAATATATAAAAGTGGTTGGCTTAGCAGAAGCTTGCATATGAACATTAGAACTGAAAAACCAAGAAACACGTTTTATCATATTTATGCTAAATTTAATAAAACTTCTTACCTGTAAATAAACCAATATAGCAATAGGCATACAACATAATCATCAGTGGAGAAGGCTCGATACATTTATATTTTTTTAGAAGTTCAAGTTTGCTTTTATCCTGTGGGTGCAAATCAGAATTTTGTAATTGATTGTTTATTCGCCAACTATCACTTATTTCAAATGATGCACCTATTAACTGATTATAAATCAATAAACACATGAAAATACGTACACGTAAGGTCAATAAAAGCTGCACAATATTTGCGACAGGAGTAACCTGAGAGAATCCGAAATAGTGACAAGTTCGAAAAAATCCCAAATAACCAAAGCACCATACAACAGCTACGTAATGCAAAAATCTTAAGATAATAATTATTATCAAGATTAAACAGCCTACCTTGCAGGAAAAAGAATAAAGGCCAATGTGAATACAGACGATGTCAGGAGTGAATGCCATACAGCTTGTCCCGCAAAACAGAAAAACATAAGAAACCCTACAACAGCCGCGAACCAAGGTCGATATTTCCCACATTTTTGGACTAATGGCCCAGTAACCAGGGACAATATAAGTATTATTGTATATATCATATCATCTTGTGTCATGGTTTATTTACTAGAGCGATTTATGAACATTGACAAATCGAAATGTATTGAAGGTAACTGAAAAAAAATAATGAAATGAAAAGGGATAAAAACAAATGATTAATTAAAATAACTTTTGTTTAATGTGGGACAAGCAACTTCACACTGCATTAATAATTTACACACAAGATACTAAAGACAGCGATAGAGAAAGTAAGGTAGCTACTGATTGCATTTGATGTCAGTCCTGTAAAAATAGGATCTACCTTCACTAAGTACCAAGACTTTGAACATAAGAGAAGTAATATAATATAGAGAATCTTTAACAAACATTGCATGGATGGAAAGCAGAAAATGTTAAAATCAAAATTTTTTATGTGACAGATTGTTAATTGCAATACTAGTCAATGATCCTCCTTCCACGTTGTGGGCAGCCGGGAAGGAACATCAGCCCTCATACCCGTAACAGCACACGAGACCAAGTTAGTCACATTCAAATCTTTCCTACACCCTCCAATACCTCCTTATCTCCACGACTAATCCTTCTCACGTCCCTTTATCACCTCTCACCGCTAGGGCAAACGATTCGAGTACGCGGAACGTTATTCCTGGTCTCCTGAAACCACGCTCTAAACTACACGTAGGAGCTTTTAACGTCCAAACACTGTGCCAAATAGGACAACGGACTTTCTTAGATAGGACTTTAGAATCTCGAGCCATCGATGTGTGCTGCGTCTCCAAAACGCACATACAGGATCCGAGTAGCGTCATTCATTTGACATCACCGTGTCAAAATAAAGAACCAACTCGATTCACACTTCGTGTATCTGGAAGCCCTGATGCTGCCTCGCCGGCGTAGGTATGGCATTGAGTCTTAGGGCAGAACTAGCTCTCTTAGACTGGATCCCAGTAGACAGTCATCTGTGCGCTGTTCGACTAAACGGAACAGTAAGGACTCGGAAAGATAGAGACACTCGTCGTTGCCTCTTTGTCGTCTCTGTAGCAGCCCAACCTTCTTTTGCAATGAGATTTGTCAATCAAGATAGGCTTTTCCGAAAACCATGTTGTGCCCTGGAGAAATGATTTTGCCCTTCAACATAGTTTATAACAGCTATCTGAATGATTTTCTCCATCAGTTTCACAACTGCACTAGTTAAGCTAACGGGTCTATAGTTACTAACTAAATCCCTACTCTCAGCATTATACACCGGACTTATTATAGCGTCTTTTCAGTCTTTAGGCAGTCTGGACTGTCTCAGAGACATGTCAAATAGTATCGTTAATGGTTCAGCAATTTCATCTGATATGGCTTTTATAATCCTACGATGAATACCATCATGACCACTGGACTTATCAGGTTTGAGATGCTAAAGTAGCCTTAAAACAGTACCTTTCTTAATGACTACAGGATCCATCAGCGAGCCGTCACGTTCACGATGAATCGTTGGTTGTTCCTCATTACCGACAGAAAATACTTTACTAAAATATTCCGATAAAGCTTCAGCCTTTTCGGCATCATTTTCTGCCAAGATTAACGGATTTTCTTGTATCAAAAGTGATGAAATCCCATCGCTTCTTTGAGTTCGCCTTTTTATATACGAGAATAACCGTTTCGGACTATATCTAGAATCCCTAACCAATTTTTTTCGTATGAATGTCTAGTCTTGCTTAGTAACGCTTTACAGGCATTCCTAATCTTACAATAACTGGATCTGCATTGTTCTAAGCCAGTAGAGATGAACAAATTCCAGTGCTTCTTCCTTTTCCTAAGAAGTTTCCTGACTGGTTTGGTTATCCATGGTGGACTGTTATTTGGTCTTCGTGGCACTAGGCACGGTATGAACGAGGACGTAACTAGTCTAAACTTACCTTTAAATACAGACCATGCTTCTTCAACTGATATGCTAGTATCTACTAACCAATCTGTCTAAGCAGCGCATTCCTGAATGGCTGATATGTTAGCTTTCCATACATTTGGGCGCGGTGTAACCTGATCGTATAACATGTCCCTAGTTCTAAACGCGAATGACAAAACAGCGTGATCGCTATCCACTAACGATGGAAGAATATTTGGGTCGATAACAGATCTCCAATGTTGTTTAGTGGACGATTTGAAAATGGTGTATTGTAGATGAAATAGTCCCTCAAACTTATTTTTGTACTACTCAACTAGTCTCATAATTAATGCTAATTTACAAGACTTTCTATGGTCACTGAAAAACATCTAGTTTGTAACACCAGCTTACAAAAATTGAGGATACAAAAAGCTCCCCTAAGTCGTTGCTCTATTCATGTTCTCCTTTTGCTTAGTAATGGTGTTATGAGGGAGGAAAAAGTCAAAAAAGACAAAAGAAACGAAAAGTAAGTGTTAAAACCTGCATGACACCACGGACGACTGAATTACCGCCTTTGAAATAAATCAGACGAATTCACAAATTAACAATGCACTCTTGATTTAATGCATTATAACAACTCCAAGAATCGTGAAACACAAACAATTTCATAACCGTTTTGTGGGTTAACCTCACCATAACGATAACGGACTTACCTTTAACACTTCAAAGTGTAAAGTAGTCCATCTGCGACATGTCGCAAACTACAGTTACAACTTAGGAAACTCCTCTCTAGTAGTATCCCAAGTCGAAAAAGATTTAGGAGTCCTGGTGCCCCATGACTTAAAGTCTTACGCTAACTGTGACAAAAATGCCCTCCGAGCAAACCTTGCACTGGTAACGTTGAAGCGCATTTTTGGACAGTTTGACGGACGAACTTTCCATACAATCTTCAATAGTTTCATCCGTCCCCATTTAGAGTACGGAAACATAGTACTCCCCCCCCCTCACTCCAAAAGAGCAAGGTCACTTTGGAGCGTATCCAACGGCGAGCCACGAAATCAGTTCGAGGACTCAAATCTAAGCCTTACGAAGAACGCCTCCGTTCACTAGACCTTTACCCACTAGAATATAGGCCTCTTAGAGGTGATTTACTAATGGCTTATAGTATTCTTAACACTTCTGGACATCCTCTTAAACACCTACTTAAGCTTAGTTCGAATAATAACCTAAGGGGTAACACCCAGAAACTGGAAACACAACATAGCAAGACGGAATGTAGACACAACTTTTACTCCTTAAGAGTTGTCAAATGCTGGAATTCGCTGCCGGCCGAGCTAGTCCAAGCGACTTCTCAAGAGTCCTTCAAGAGGCAACTTGACCTATTCTTAAGGACCAAGGACAGCATCACATTATGATTTACCAATTTCTTTTCCTTTTTTATTGTTAACATACCAAGGTTCCTGCCTGGAGGATTTGGTGATCCCCTGCTACTAGACACGGAAGCCTGTTAAGCGAAAGCTTCTTCTATTCCGTCCACAACCATTTGAACCATTTAATGTGTTAAACAACTGTTCATCATTAGTGGTTTCAGTTTGCTTGCTCTTCGAGCGCGCTATTTAAAAAGGACAGTGGTATTTTTCCTCGCTGAGTAAATTTCTTTGTTTTGATCGTTTATTGCGTATCAAGACTACTGTTTTCACATTAATTGAATTTATTCCAGTTAAAGTATTCGACTAGAGTATCGTTTTTACTGTTCTCTCAATTAGTTCTGTCGTTGGTACTCTTGAGTACCTCTTTTCCAACTGTATCTGTTAGTACTTTTGGTCCTAGCAATCTACAGCTCTTCACTTTTTTGGTCATTGATTATTCTTTTGTTTCTGAGTATCATCGCATCTTGAAAAAGAACCCCTCCTAAATGACCGGACAGTGTAAAAAAAGCAGTTGCCAACGTCCGGGTTGTCGTTATCCGGTTGAAAGCGGCATGCAGTGCGACGAGTGCAAAGGCTGGTACCACGAAGTTGGCACGAACTTAACGCCTGCTGCTTTCAAACGGTTCAGTAAGAAGGGTTGTGTATGGCTTTGTCAACAGTGTTGCTCGGATGCAAACAGCTTGTTAACCGAGGCCATCTCACTGGTTGATGCTGCAAAGAAGTGTTTTAGCAAGCATAGTCGGAACGCTTCAAACAGCACTCGATCTGTTGACACGCAAATCAACGTGAAGGAAACTAAGGTTAGTCCGATGATGGATGACTCACGCCCGTCAAAGAAGTAGTCTCCAATGGGGCCTGCCTTAAACAAAATTTCAAGAAAAGTAGGGTCTTCTGTTCCCCGTCTCCCAGATGGGATCCAACAGGAAACACGCAAGGCTCGATCGGTTTCAAGCGGTAAACATAACCCGACCTCTCAGGTCGTCGACAACTTCCCAAAATCCAACACAAGGTTTGATGCAACTGTTATTGCTTCTACCAGCACCGTTGACGAATGGGTACAGGTTGTAAGAAAGAAAAGTAGGGATATAAAAGGGAACCCTGACCCCGTAAAAGTAGTTGAAAAATCGAAAGCTGATCATAGCGACAGATCAGCTATTTTTCATAGAATCAAGAAGAGCGAGAGCTTTGAACCTAAAGCTCGTTTTGAGCATGACATTGTATTGATTATGCAGCTGCTTAATCAACTCATGCCTCAAAATATGACCGGGGTCACCTTGCTAAAGGTGTACAGACTAGGGAGTCTAGCGGACGTGAAACCAAATCATTCCAGACTGCTTAAAGTGGTATTCGGCTCTTCGAACGAACGTAACCTGATTTTACAAAATGGACACAAATTAAAGGGTTCAGGAGTCTTTATCCGAAAGGACCTACCGTTGGCAGACCGTGTTAAAAGACGGGAAGCCGAGAAAGAACTACAACATAGGTTAGGACCTGAAAACTGTAAATTTTCGGATTGTAAGACTTCGACAGAGAATGATGCCGAAGCCACTCTGGGTGAAGTACGAAGGCACTTAAACAGGCATCGGATCTGTTACACCAATGCACGAAGCCTACTTAATAAGCGATCGGAACTAGGTGTGCAGATTGACTCTACAATGCCAGACATAATCGCAGTAACAGAAACCTGGCTGACACAGGCTATAAACAGTATGGAACTTGATTTCGTGGGTTTTACGTTAGTAAGGGCAGATAGAACACAAAAGCGCAAAGGAGGGGGAGTAGCTCTATTCATAAGGAATGCTATCCCATTTGCCATTATCGATAGTGTATCCCATGAAAGTGGGACGTGTGAATTAGTCAGTCTTCGCTTAAAATGCAAGGGACAAGTGCTGCTGATTGGTTTGGTCTATCGTAGTCCAAGCTGTGAGGCAAATGAGATCCTGTTAAGCAGTCTCAATACTTGGTCCCAAAGTGGTCGGTGTCTAATCCTAGGGGACTTCAATGCACCTATGGTAGACTGGGAAAATCTGCGAACTGAATCGTCAGAAAATTCCTTTGAGCAGGAACTAGTTGATGCGGTTATCACATGTGCCCTAGTGCAACATGTGAAAGAAGCGACTAGGTACGACCCGGACACTGAATCATCCTTATTAGATCTTATACTGACTCACTATGAGGATGATGTTACGAACCTCCACCATATGCCACCCCAAGGTAAAAGCGACCACGCAGTTTTAACTTTCGACTTCCATATAACTGCCAGTCACGAGCACGCGTCAGTCCAGTCCAGACCCAACGTCTGGAAAGCAAACATACCAGACATCATGCATTCAGCATCGTTAATAGATTGGACAATAGACCCGGAGTCCTCCATTGAAACGGCCTGGGACGCATTTCGAAATTCATACTTAAAAGTTACCACACCTTACATCCCTTGGACTATACCAAAGGGGCCGAAAAACTCACCACCATGGTTCAGTAGGGAGGTCCGTATCCTTCTCCGTAAGAAAAGGAAAATGTGGGGTAGATTTAGGTTACTGGGGACTGATGAGTCAAAATCTCAGTATCGAAAGGCTCGGAATACTTGTGCCTCGACCCTCCATAAGTCTAGAAAATTGTACGAAGAAAAGATTGTTAAGGACTCCGTAGAATGTTCTAAACGCTTGTTTTCTTATATAAACCAAACGACAAAGAGAAGAGGAAATATTCCTGCTCTATGGGGAGACAGTACTGCTTCATCATTAGTGGAAGACGACTTTGGTAAGGCTCAAGTGTTCTCGAACTACTTTAACAACGTATATACCATAGAAGCGCCCTTCCCGTCAGTGAATACAGATCCCCCATACATATTTCGTGCCTTAAGGGAACCCTCGTGCTATTGACAGAAGAAACCAGAGAAGTAGTGAATAGGTCTTTATTTCGATCTTTGCGCAGTCACAGTGGAGTGTGTGATTATCTGTTCAGACAAACAAAGGCTCTCAACATTCAGTATAGAATAATAGGGAATACAACGCTTATACAAAATAAGGAAGTGAATGAATACTTGAACAATACTGTTTTAGCATATGCTTGGTTGTTTCGGTTCAACTCTTAACCAACCAACCTAAGCTGTTACATTAGCTTCCCCCTAGAATCGACTTCCGTAGGTAAGTCGGTTCGATTAACCTATCTATCGAAAACACCTTAGTTCTGTTTCTCATCCCAAGGGAAAATTATCAAATCGCTCACTATTTGACTTACAATCAGTTACGACTAACGCTGTCAACGATAGTCCATGGATGTCTCCTCATTTACTAGCTTGTCATCTTATTTTGTAGCATATGATTTCTTCTACAACTATCGCTGACGGTTTGCTGCGTGCTTTCAAGAGAAAGAGTGAGAATGTGGAACAAGAATATCTGAGGAAGTGCCGCGAGCGGGCTACCCAACACCATGTTGGTGAGGTACGATTTTTCCATGCTCAGACCGGCTATCAGGTGTTTACTCACCTGCCTCTTGAGTCGCCCTGAAGTAAAAGGTAAAGAAGAATCTACTTCAAAGGTAATGGTGAAAATCAAGCAAACCTGAAGAACTGCTCCACTGCCTGCATAAAATAATAAGATACAAAATGAAAATACATAAATGTAATAGATAGTTGTTCGGTTCCATGTAAGTGCTTGGCCTCCAGAACGGATTGGTATTCTGGAAGGAAATAGACATAGTGTAGATATCTTGTGCACGAAAAACCATGAAAACAAAAAAATATACTCTTTTGTAATGCATATATGTAAAAGGGTGAACTTGCTAGAAGTTGGACTGTAACAAAATCGATCAAACGCATGACCTTGAGCCTGTGATGACCGCCTTTTACAACTAGGTGCGTAACCAAGGGTGCATCAGAGTACTTCACAAAACGGAAAAGAATATACGGTTAAGAAGCAAAAAAATTGTGTAGAGTATGCGGATCAAGTACAGTTGTGTCAAATACTCTTTTCTGGTTTAATTTAGGTATGCATGATATATTGAAGCAATATTTCGTCAATTCATCCAAGTAACAAATTGGTTTGCACCTCAGAAGTGTGTAAGTCCTATTACACATTAGTATTATGAGTGATTAATTGGTGTAAGGAAATATTGAAGTCACTTCCTCCGTCGTCTGACGTGATTTAATG